GGGAGGCACTTATTCCACTGAGCCATCTCCCTGGCCCAGTTCCCCCTTTTTTAAAAAAGAAAACCAGAGGTTGGTGGTCACCATATCTATTATTAGGTGAGCAAATTAAAAATTACTTCTTCTACTTAATGTCACATAGGGTTAGAGTTCCAGTGAGGCTCTCAAATACACATTTTAATTAGTAAGCTGCTTACTCATGTGGGCATCCAGGGGCTGATATTATACACCCCATTACAAATGTCAGTAGGACACTGAGCAGCAGCCTTACTCAGAAGTTCTGAGCAACTACAGTCCTGTCTCCAAGGTGGAGCGCTGGCATTGTCCCCACCTGCAGGTGCGAATGCGTTAGCTGGATCTGGCCTCTGAGTTGATGGGCTCACTCCTGAAGAGTTCCGGGACTGTCACAAGGAGGAGAGGACCCTGGATAGACAGCGCTGAGTATAGAGAGTTCACCTCTTGGCCCACGTGGCTGTTGAATGGGGTGAGTGGCAAACTCCAGCAGAGCAGAGCAGAGCGTAGTCTACAGGGAGAGAGCCGCAAGCTTCAGTGTATTTATGCTGTACTCCTTTTAAGCACTTACAGTGGAAGAGACAGACCAGGAGAAGTTCTGCTCCTGTGACAACATGAATTCTGAGAGCAAGACACTGACTGGAAGGAGCACAGCAACTTTCGACTCACCACCAAGCCCTGCTACCTGTACTTCGCAGCCTCCCAGCACAGACACTCCACCAGGGCTGTCCACGTGGTGCCCTCAGTGTGGCCCCAGATACCTGCAACAGTGCCTAGACCTCACCCTGAGGCTGACTTTAGGGGCAGGAGGTGGAGCAAGGGCACTGTTTCTATGCTGTGTATAATTTCACTAGTGAACGAGTATTTATAGCAGACATGATTGAATGTGCACTTCAACATGATTGTCTGCATAGACTCCAGGTAGCCTCACTCATGTGTAAAGTTATTGTTTTCACAATGTTCTCATTGTTATTAGAACCTGCGTGCAGTATGTAGCGATCACTTTCGCTGTGGGGAGTTGGGACATGTACGTAACACATCTTAAGCATCTGTACTTGTCCCTTCTTGGGTCCCCTCCCTCCAGTTTTTGGTCCACTTCCCATCTTTAAATGATCTTTCTCCCTGTATCCTATTATCTATCTTTTATTTTGTCCTTTAAATTATTTACACTATATGTTTCTCAGAACCCAAGCCATATTTAAGCTTGC